GGTAACAAATAATGTGACTAAACATCGTTAATCGTTTTAGATAATAATTTAACTGACAATTAAATTCCTTGATTAACTAATTTAAATATCAACACAAACACAAGATTTTATCATCACGTCATCGTGGTTATCTATCCACTGTGGTACGTAAATATGGCACTAAGTATAAATTACATTCATGCAAGGTAAAAAGAAAAAAAGGACAAATTATTGTACGAATTATTAGGTAACATATACAATAAAATAAAAACTTAAAGGAAGAATGTATAAGTTTTTATTTTATCAAAGATCAAAATGTAGAAGAGTTCTTCCTCTGCTTATGGATTGTAGTTGTGAACACTCTTTCTACACGTACAATGTATAATATATCTTTCTTACGTATTAGTATGATTTTTTTTAGTGATTGTATTTTTGTATTTGTCTGCCTAACCAACAAATTGTCGAGTACCAATAAATTAGAACCGGCCAACTTCCTCTTTTCTCTTCTATTTGTATTAATAATATAATACCATTTTAAATTCATACTCGATCATGCATGATTTATCAAAATTATAGACTTTCGTTTTTTTCCATTTTGGGATATAATATCTCGTTCCCAAATCAATGTTTTGTTTAGATAAAGACCACCACTACCACTAAGTTTAATTTTTACGTCCATGATCTTCCATTTTTATAAATAAATAATTTTATCACCGTTTTGATATCAAGTATTAAAAAGTTAAAATTCTTTTTTGTTTAAAAAAAAAAGTATTAAAAAGTTAAAGTTTCAAGTATTAAAAAGTTGCCTCGAATACACTTAATGTTATTGTTGAAATTTTTCTCTCAAAAATTTCCCACCCGATCAACGTAACGTACCATCACAGAACTTGAGTTCACAATATCACATATTAGCGGTTTCAAGGATTTGGCTTCAGTTATTACAATCAATGATTTTATATATGTACGAACGAAAGATTATCGAGTCTTTAGTTATAGAGAATCAATGATTACAATCAATCATCTACCTAATGTAATGAATTTAAGAACAAAATGTTACAGAGAAACCATGTTCACTCATATTATGAGTTATAGGCGAAGCAACAAAAATGTGAAATGTGATTTAGGGCTAAATAAAATAATTAGTTAATTAACATGTTGTTGGGTGCTAATTCCAAAAGCAAACAAGAAGACTCGTCCCAATCACCACATGAAATCTTTGCTTTTTAACACATATGCTTCTTATCATCATTGATATTTTAATTTATTTTGTACAACATAATGCTAAATTCAATATTAGTTTTAATGATCAAGAGAATTACTGTGTAGAAAGCAAATCCAATAAGAGAATGAATTAGGTAGCAGCATTCACTTTTAAGGCTTGCTTCTAAAATAGTATAAAAACCACAAAGATGTTTGGAAGAGTACTTAGGTTCTTAAGGAAGGTATGAATTGAGTGTAGAAAAAAGGTTGCTAAACTCTTTTGAATCCAATTAGGTTGCTAAACTTTTTGAATCCATCTCTAGAAGATGGTAGTTTTAGAATTTTAATTAATACTTTTTGTTAACTCTTTAACATTATTGTATTATTGGAAAATATAAACATTACTTCTATATAATAATATATAACAAAAAACAGGACACATCCTTGATCAGAAAACATTGAACATCCAAAAAAGTAGGAACAAATCAATCTATATCCATCTAATTTGTTCTTTCTTATTTTTTTCCTTTTTAATATAGTTTATAACAAAAATCTCTCTTAGAAGAATATTATTGCTTATATGAAACAATGAAACGAAAACTAGTT